ACTCTTTCTAAAAGGTACAACAAGAGAAACTACAAGGGGAGCAACTGGTTAAAATTACTAGTTCTAAAGCTAGCATTGATTCGTATGCAAATCATGTTTAAATCAGGTAATGTGCAAGACTATGAAATGACTGAATTTTAATTAATTGAGCAGAAGCAGACTGATCAGCTGTTTGTCATCAGTTAGGAGACATTTTAACTGGCTATTTTTGGAACAGTCTGTTTATTTGGAAAATCTGTCTTTGCATAATACAATCACAGGCATCATTCTCATAATATCAATTTGTTTTAAGAGGCCTTCTTTAGACCTTGATGTCATTCCTGCAATATCTGTCATTTCTCTGTCAGCAGTAAATGGCAACGAGCAAAGCCAAAATTCAGATATGAATCAGGAAAGTTGGCAAAGCAAAATCAGTTTTTCTTGCACATGTTGCACATCAGATTTTGCAATGATAGCGATAGCAAATTGTGCTAATGTAAATGGTTTAACTTTTAAGTTCTCATTTTCCTTTCATGTGCCATGAGGGCACTAATCAAACTGATGTTATGTACAGGTCAAGAGTGACAGGTTTTTCTCAATGCTTGCTGGGAGCTGACAGTAGACAGTATTTATTAACAGTACCTGCAATAATTTGTCAGCTGAATGGAGGATCTGGAGATTTTCATACCAGAAAAGGATAAGTCCTTGCAAGAAATTTTGCTTTAAATGATTACTGCCTTAGGTCCAGTGCACATTAATTTTTCAATAGAATAATATTCCATATGTAATAGATTACTGTTGACTAAAAATGTGAGATGTTTTTAAGAGGAGGAGCAGTAACCAACTGTAAATTCAATGTTGTATCTTTCTTTATAGCTTTGAAAAGTCTAAATGGATGTAATGTATTAAACTTTTAAAGCCATTTGAAATTAATGCCTCCTTGCTGGGCAGTATTGTTCCAGGAAGCCTGCTTACTGTGCGTTACTTTATAATCCTTTGCCTATCTGTGTGGGTTCTTGCCTCTGGCTCTCTTGGGGTTTCTGGCATCGTAACTGATCAGTAAACTCACTCAGCAAGTTACTGAACTTCCCACTAGTTTGGGGTTCCCAATTCTTACCTGCCCAGCCCAAAGCCATACGCTTAAACTTTCAGAAGTGTGGAGTACCTCCGCGATGCCCTCAAGATTTCTGTGATGCCCAAATGGTGGTTCTGCATTAACTGCACTAACTGCTGCAAACATGTTTTCCTCCTGGCTCTTTCAGCCAGACAGTGGAAAATAAATGCATCATTTTATTGGGATCAGAGACAGAATTGCCTAATAAAAAAAATAATCAGTCCAAAAACACAGTTAATATATTTTTCCAGTATAAATTAGTAGTTTTGATTGTTACAATAATTATTTCTGAGAATGTGCTTAGAATATAAGGTATGTGTATTTGTGCATGCTTCTTGTGTATATGTAAAGCCTAATGCCAGGTTTGTTTTGTTTTGTTCCAGAATTATAGATCAGCGGTTTGAGAAAGTTTCCTATTTCGTCTTTGGAGATTTTAACTTTAGACTGGATGCCAAAGCAGTAGTAGAGGTAGGACTTTTATTTTTCTTCTGTTGTATACTCTACCGGTTTTTATTTCTCAAATATTTTTTCCTGTGGAGAAGTTATGTGAGTTAATGAACTAATCTTAATATTGACATCAGACTTGGCTTAGAATACTTTTAACAGAGACATCTGACAGGTAACTAAAAATCACTGTTATGAATCTGCTGCAGCAGTTAAAGCCCAGCTGACATGCTGCGTTTCTTCTCAGTAGTAGTGTGTGGAGTGAGTATGGGCTGTAGATGCCAGCGGACTGCAGAGTCCCTGCCACCTGTTCACCTGTTCCTAAATTTCTGTTGTAGAATTCCACACTAAAAATACAAGCAGACATTTGTGCAAACCTTTGTGATAGTAGCATCTTGCTGTGTCTTGTTTTAGGCAGTTGTTCTGTCACCCAATGACTCCTCCTCACCCCTGGGCAGAGGAGTTGGGAAAGGGAAAGGAGACCTGTGGGTTGAAATGAAAGCAGATTTAATGAAATAATAATAAGAACTAATATTAATACTAATATGAAATTCACTAAGTTACACTTGGCCAACGAAAGCGCAACAGTCACAACAAGCAGGAGAGCAGGCCTCAGGAGCAGAATGGCAGGTGAGACCCTCCAGGGATGACGGACAGTGGGGAAGAGGGGTGTCCCCAGCAAACTTTCCCATTTATAGTGAGCGAGCGTTTCTGATACGGGATACTGCTGGTGGCCAGCCTGGGTCAGCTGCCCTGGCTGTCGCTCCTCCTTGCCTTAGCAACTGGCTAACTCTGAACTGGTAAAGACCTCAGTCATGCACATGGTGTGTGGAAACCCACACACCATGGCTGGCCATGAACTAAAACAGTGTCTCACAACTTTGTTCTCACCAAATTGGGTGCTGCAGTCTCTCTTAAAATGCACCTTTTCTGACCAAGAATTAATTCTATCCGAGCAGAATGAGGACAATGTGGAAGGGTGACTGGCAGATTTATGTAAAGCCAAAAAGAATGCAGTAAACCGTTTTCATCATGAGTTAAGATTACCTTCACTTTACTGCTAAATCTTGCCGCCGGGTAACACAGGGTCAGAAATAATATCCAGGTTGAAAACCAGTTTAATCTCATGGTTTTCCCACTTTAATTCTCAGAGATACTGTAGTGTCTTTTTGGTGTCCTTGAGGATAGGCATGTTTCTTCTAAACCAAAAGCTTTTATTTTGTAAATCAAGCAGCCAGAAGTAAGCGGCCTGTGTGTCAAAGGCTGGCGACTCCTCATACAGGTGCAGTGCAGTTCTCCTTCCTTACGTGATGATTAGTCCTTCATCTGCTGAAAAATAGGAGTTTGGCATTACAGCACTGTGTATGTAACTGATAATTTCCTTCTCGGAATCCTTTATACATTGCAGTCATTTAACCAACAAACTTATAGCATAATTGAAATGAAATTCAAGTCACTGATTCAGAATATGCAGCTTCATGCTGCTTATGTTAAGAACTAAATCCTGCTCTGCTACACTGTGGTTCCCATAGTTATCATCAACATTTAGAGATTACTTGGTTCTGAAATATTATGCTGGTGCAATAGTGTTCTTGAGAAAGCTCCTGTCAGAGAACACCTCTATCAGTCATGCTGCAGCAGAATTATCTCCTACACTCAGTATTGATGAAGGGTGCTCTGATTTTTTCCTAACTTACTAACTGCCTAGCAGTCTGCCGGATTGAAACTGGAGAGAATGCTTCCTTTACCACCAAGAGATTAAGATTCCTACTTTTATATCTTTTAAAGTGATCCATTTCTAAAAAAAATAATGTCACTAACCATGGATGATGCGTATTGAGTGAACTGCACAACAGGTAGTAAGAGTACAAGTGATTTTTATTCCTGACACAGTAGTTCTCATCCTATGAATGGTCTACCAGTGTCAGTCAGTGTTGTTGCATGTGAGCACACAAGGTACGATTTGAAGATGAATCAAATTTATTTACCCATTCTTCCTAGATAAGGTGTATTGTATGCGTGCGTGACTGTAAAAAGCATTAGAATATTACATATTTTCTGTTGCTTTTTTTGAGAAGTAGCATACCCCATTTACCAGCACTTCACTCAGTTACATGGCAACATTAATTAAACATCATTATTGATCTAGACACTTCCACTTGTAATTTGCATATATGCAGTTAAATTCATATTGTTTTGTAGTCTTCTGCATTTGGTCCCATTTATAAATTGGTATGTCAGAAGATCCGAAAGATTTAAGAAATGGTTGTCTCGTGTAGTTTACTACACAGAAGTGATGGTACGGGCATTGTCTTTGACAGCTCTTAGCACCAGAGCAGTCATGAATGAATCCGTAGGAGGCACACAGCACTCTGTTTTGATAACAAAGTCTAGGCTCCAAGGAGACAGAGCAATTTCTAAAGTATAATTTGGGAGGGCAGAGTTACAGGCTGCCTCTGGCAGGAATTATTCTAGACAGGACTTAATGGTTTGTTTGTACATAAGGTATATAAGATTCAATCCCAAATCACTTCACAAACTAGTTTATAAGTGGTGTTTCTCAACTGTGCTATTTTCCGGAGCTGGCACAGGGCAGAGTGCCGTGACAAAGACCATGGCAGAACAGGAACAAAACTGGCCGAAGGTGATGGCTTATCTAACGCTCAGTGCCAGCCAAAGTGTTAGCCTGTGCTCATCTAGGAACCTCACACTCCAAAAAATGTCGTGGTCCCTTCTGACATTTGAAACTTGTGCCTATGCAAATTGCTGATATTAACCATTCTTTCAGCTATTAAGCAGTGTAGTTAATACCAGGAATCGTAAGGGTTAATCCTTTGACCTGTCATCATTGTACGTATTAGTAAATTTATCTCTTCTTTTCTTGTTGACCTTTTGAATTCCCTCTTGAGACCACAATGTGCTGAACACTTGGACATGAAGATACTATGAGCAATACATGTGTTGTGGAAATGTAAACTGTGCTTATACCAAACATAAAGAATGAAGTATATTTCTAAAGGATTTCACAGTTAAGCCATCAAAAGGGAGAATCTGAGAGCTATTTCAAATGTAGAGTCCAGGTACTGAAGTGCAGTGTACCAAAATGTTGTGCCTATTAATTAATAAACTATAAATCATTAATATATAGTTTTTTAAACATTTTATGGGAGCCTTTATCTAAAATCATATTGATTTCCTTGCTAGGAAAATATGCTTTACTGATGTTGGAGTAATCTGGAGGGGAAACAATAAAACAGGTAGAGGCTTCTGGCAGGTCTGAGATCCATGTGTGCATTGACAAGTGTGTTGTCCAGGGGGATAAACTGGCAAGAAAGAAATGGGACATCTGTAGTATAAAAAGCATAGCAAACACAATTGTTTCATAGTAGATTTTAATTATAGTTTGAGCATAATTTGTAGCTTAGTACCATAGTGATGATGTTTAGAGCAATACCTACAGCTCTGCCATTTAAAGCATTTTCCAGTGGTCCTCAGCCTGCAAAGGGCCAGTGATAAGGTTCGATTTTGGTCGAGCTTTCTTAGGCTGATGTGTGATTCAGAATACAGGGGGAACGAGGGGACCTGGAACCACAAAAGAGGTTTTTTTTTTCCTGAAGTCTCAGACATTTGTACACTCTGGGTGTGTGCCAGGAATCGAGGACATCAGGGTCTCTTTGCCACGTCTCAGCCAGTGATGCCCCACGTAGGCTGCGAGGTCTCATAAGGTGTGCTTGATGCCACCCTTTCCTTGGGACATGCTAATGCCCCCGCCACTATTTACCTGAAAATAAGCAAATGGAAGTACAAATGCTCCTGAGTGTTAATTACAAAGGTTTGGTATTGCTGTAGTAATAAGCCTCAGAAGTTTGTCTTGTAGCTAAATGTATTTACTAAGGCAATACATACAAAAGAAAGATTTATGTTTCCTCAAGTTTTAACCATTTAAGGTACGCTCTAAGACCTTAATTTTTTTCCTAAAGGTCAGCTAATTTCAGTTAATCCTGAGTAGGCAAAGTTGGCTGAGTATTTTGCTGCTGTTTAAATTCAGAGATTTGCCTACAGATTTTTTTAAAATTTTTTTTAATGCTAAGTTTTTTGTGTAGTACAGCATTCAAATTATTTGCCCACTGCTTTCAGGTATCTTCCAGCATGTCTATTCCCAGCGTGTTATGGAAGTGTTTTACAACATATACAAAATTACTATAAACTTGTATATTAGTTTGACTGTGAATTCCAGTATGTATCAGCTTCTCTGCAATGTCTCTAATGCCGATATTGTCACAGCATTTCACAGAAACATGAATTTGTGATGTTTCCTTGTGTAGAAGATGGTTCTTCTGTAATTTTTCCAGAAGTTCTGCTCTCCTTGCGTTTAATATATAGATCGGTCACTGTAATCTTTGCAGTTATCAGAAATGCATTGCAAATTTATAGTTGTGTGTGAGAAAAGTAGGTTTTCTGTTTCTGGAAAATTATCTTCTAAAATTGAATTGAAAGGAGATTTAAGGGCGAATGTCATGTGGATGGAGCCAAGCTCTTCTCAGTGATGTCCAATGGTAGGACAAGGGGCAATGGGTGTGAGCTGGAACACAGGAGGTTCTGCTTCAACTTGAGAAAAAACTTCTTTACAGTGAGGGTGTTGGAGCCCTGGGACAGGCTGCCCAGGGAGGGTGTGGAGTCTCCTTCTCTGGAGACATTCAAGACCCGCCTGGACGCCTTCCTGTGTGATCTCATTGAGGTTCCTGCTCTGGCAGGGGGGTTGGACTGGATGATCTTTTGAGGTCCCTTCCAATCCCCAACATTCTGTGATTCTGTGAGATTCGATGAGGTGACTTTAAAGAAATCTGCAGCAGCTCTGAGGTATACTGTAGGCTGAAATAGAAGATTATTCCAGAAATTTAAAAATTATTATAAGTTAGTGCTCTGGTTCTTCAAAAATAGTAATAGAGTAAATGCTTGGAGGTTCTGAAATTAAACAAGACTAGTTGGCTGTCAACGTAATAAAACCAGGATACTAAAATCTC